GAGTGCGGTGCTGATAACACCAAGGCCCCGGGTTCGGATCCCATATAGGGATGGCCGGTTTGCTCACTGGCTGAGCGTGGTGCTGACAACACCAAGTCAAGGGTTAAGATCCCCTTACCGGTCATCTTTAAAAAAAAATAAATAAATAAAAATAAATAAATAAATAAATAAAGGGCCTAAGAGTCAACTGCAAAGAGCTCCTAAAAGCCAAAGTTAGAACAACCTGAGCAAATAAATCACGATAATATTGGATTTTAGCTCCAAATAAAATAAATACCCATGAGTCTGTACTGATAAAAATAAGTAAATAAACAAACGGGTGAGAAGAAACAATTCTTCCTTATGGCAGAATTTCAATTAATACATGTAGAAGAAATAAGATAAACAGAAAATCACTATTAGAACCCCACATGCCAAAATTAATGTGCAAAAGTTTAAGCAAAAACAGGATATTTGCATAGTTTCAAAGTATCTCTGCCCAAATATTTATTCATTAGAAAGGGAAAAATAGTAATTTTACTATTGCTGGAGAAAGCCAGAAGACACCACTTAAATCAAGTGATCAAGGTCAACCTCACCAGTAATGAATACAGATATCATCTACCCCTTGATGTGATGCACTGAGGAGAGCATATCTTCTCTGTGGTGTCCTTTCCAATAATTTATAACTTTAATTATGAGAACATATCAAACCCAAACAGAGGATTTCTTCAAAATAACAGACCACTACTCTTCAAAAGTATCAAGGTCACAAAAGACCAGGAAAGGCTGAGATTGTCACAGATTAGAGGAGACTAAGGAGACATGAAAAGTAACAGAATTTGGGATCCTGTATTGAATCCTGAAACAGAAAAGAACATTACAGGAAAAACTGGAGAGATCCAAATAAAGTGTGTAGTTAATGTAACCAATGTGAATGTCTTAATTTTGATAATTGTTTTATGGTTGTGTAAGATGTTAATATAAGGGGAGGCTGAGTGAAATGTATTCTGAAACTCTTTATTTTTGCAATTTTTCTGTAAGTCTAAAATTATCTCAAAATAAGACAATAAACAATTAACAAAGAATTACGTTGGAATGATAAACACCAAATTCAGGATAACAGTTAACTCTTGTGGAGAGGCAGATGAATGAAACTGGGGAATTATGCACAAGGAACTTGAATTGTATGAGGAATGTTTATTTTTTAGGCTGTATGAAGGGTACATGGATATTTAACATAGTTTTTATTAGATTTGCATCCCCCAAATGCGCCGCTTGGGAAGTGCGGTGGCGCTCCCGCCGAGGGTTCGGATCCCACATGCACACCCGGCCGCTCGCTGGCTGAGCGAGGGGCGGGGGCAACGCCGAGGGTTGCGGTCCCGTTGCCGGTCACGAAAAAAGACAAAAAGGAAAAAAAAAAAAAAAAAGCTTCAGACTTCGAACTGGGTAGCTACAAATCTGCCTATAATTTACTCATTTACTCAATATTTATCAAGTACCTATTATAAAATGTAGTTCCTGTCCTCAGGAAATTCAATTTCATCATCTATTGAGATTTAACCCTGCTACTCATGTGTTGGTTGTAGAGCAGAGTCTTTGTCACAACTACTAAACTCTGCCACTGTAGCAAGAAAAAGCCAGATAATACATATGTGAATGGGTGTGGCTGTGTTCCAACAAGTAATTTTCAAAAACAGGCTGCGTGTAGTGTGCTGACCCACAATGTAACTAGATTGAATAGAATTTAGGCAATGAGTTAAAAATAAAATGAATACACCTCATGGTGGAGCTATGACCATGCTTTCATAATTTGCAGGCATTTCATATGTGAAAACAGATGCACTTTCAATAGCAGGTGCAGCTGTACCCACGTCTTCCAAACCCTGACTCAGAAATCCACTATGACATGCCAATTTCAAAGTGTCAGATACTAGGATAAGGGGGAAGACAGATGGTACCTTTCTGACAGGCATTTCAACCTTGAAACTGAGAAACTATCTCACTATTCCAGGAAAGACCTAGGGAAAAACTCCTTCCTATCTGCTGTTTTCTCCAATTATTTATTTTAGCAATTAAAAAAATTTGGATGTTTTACCTTTTATCCTGGGATCTACTCCAGTATACCAAATATAGCTTCAGAATATTTATTAAACATATCAATATTTTAAAAAGACATTTATTAGAATCTAAACCACCTGGTTTCCTCCATTTATTTGCTAAACAAACCCCCCCATAAAACTCATCAAAGGATTTCATAAATTTCAGTTATAGTAAGAAACAAGAGGGTATAGATAAATAGGTATGTGATAAAGAAAATATTGTAAAAAGTTAATAGTAAAATCTAGGTAGGGGTATTCACTAGGGGTGTTTACTGTAAAATGCAACTTTACAGGTTTGAAATTTTTCATGAAAAAAGTTGGAGGGCTGGCCGGTTAGCTTAGTTGGTTGAAGCAAGGTGCTGATAACGTCAAGGTCAAAGGTTTGGATCCCCATACTGGCCAGCTGCCAAAAACAATAAATAAAATACAGTGAATTAAAAAAAAAGAAAAATTGGAAAACAGGAGACAGGGAGAAAAAACAAAGAAAAAATCTCTTTGTGATCTCTTCCTACTGTGCTGGGTGTGACAAGAGGACAGGGAAAGGAGACCTAGCCCAGTCCAAGCACTCAGAGAAGGCTGCAGAGGTATGAGTTGGGTTTTAGAAAACTATCAGGAATGAGCCAGCAGATAAAAGGGCGGGCAGACAGAGGAAACAGCACAAGTAAAAGCTCTTGGATGGTTATAAAACACCCATGCCAGGAACACAAGGTGGTACATAACGGTTTCAAGTGGAAAATTAAATGAACAGTTTGTGTTTCCCCTTTTACCTCTCTTCCTTTACCTCCTATCTCCAGATTAGACACATCAGGGTGAGTCTGAGCCACTGCCTTAAAGACAAGCTCTAGCACTAAGTGTGGAAAGCCACAAGAGCAGAGCCTCTCCTGACTGTAGGATACAAAGAAGGATATCAACCAAGTAGAAAGGGGCAAGAAGACTGGGAAACATTAACTGGAAAGATTTTTATAGGGGTTTCCACCTAGTGCCCTGCATTTGGTAGAATAAAATTTAAAGTCCTTCAAAAAAATCTGATTTTCCATCTTTTTCAATCTTCCTATCATCTAACCCACCCCTAATTGCAGGAAATTCATCTGTAACCTCAGATATGATGAATTGAAGACACCAGGGTTAACAAATAAAATGGCAAAAACATACCAATATCACATATACACAGCTTCAAAAAATTAGAATTTGTATGAGAATTTTCCAAATATACAAGTTAAAAGAAAAGGAATTTAGGAGACTGTAAGAAATGTCAAGTATTTTCTCTGCAATTCAATGTTCTCAGTTTGAATAGCTCTTCTGATATACATCTCCTTGTGTTTATGACTGAAAGTTGAAGAGCTATACACTTAAAAGCAAACTATCTCCAAAGATATACAAATGTCCAATAAGCACATGAAATATCAGTATCATTAGTCATGAGGAAAATGCAAATCAAAAGCACAAGATACCACTTCACATTTAAAAAAAAAGAAAAATAAGTGTTGGCAAGGATGTGGAGAAATTGGAACCCTCAGGCATTGCTGTTGGGAATATAAAATGCTGCAGCTGCTGTGGAAAAGTTTGGCAGTTCCTCAAAGTTAAACATAGAACTACCATATGACCCAGCAGTCCTACTCCTAGGTATATATTCCAAAGAACCTAAAGTGCTGACTTAAACAGACACTTGTACACCTATGTTGAGAGCAACATAATTTCCAATAGCCAAAATGTGGAAACAACCCATGTCCATCACCAGATGAATAAACAAAACGTAGTATATGCATACAATATTATTCAGCCACATAAGGGAATGAATTTTGATATATGCTACAAAATAGGTGGACCTTAAAATATTATGCTAGGTGAATTCAGACAGACACAGAAAGATAAATACTATGATTCCACTCACATGAGGTTCCCAGAATAGGCCAATTCAGACAGAAAGCAGAATTGTGGCTACCAGGGGCTGGGGTAAAGGGAGAATGAGGAGTTATTGTTTAGTGGGTACACAGTTTGTGTTGGTGATAACACTTTGGGTATAGTGGTGATGGTTACACAACACTGTGACTGTACTTCAATGTCACTGAATTGTACACTCACGAATAGTTATGATGATATTATTTTATGTATATTTTACAATTAAAAAAACCCCAGAGTATCAAACTACAATTAGTGTAAATGCTTACTATGTGTATGGCATTAAAGCCAAAAAATAAATGTGTGTTCACATGGCCCACATGGATTTGTTCTCCATTTACACCGATGTACATTTGTAGGAAAATAGAGAATTACTATCACTATGCCTTCCACAAGGCCACACATCACTTACAATACAATCAGGAAAATGGCCTATTCTGAAGTGCTAAGCTATTTTCCAGGCCCAACAAGACCCCAAAGCACACACTTTATGAAGATCAGCAACACATTAAAAACAGCATATATTTTATATTCAAGCACACAATACCAAACTTTCTTTCACAGTGCCACTGTACCCTCCATGAATTCTTCTCATAGAATTAGGTATATTGGAAGCAAGTTGTTTCTGGTGAGGTTTCTGTCTTTTTTCTTTTCTTTTGCTGGCTGGCTGGTACAGGGATCTGAACCCCTGACCTTGGTGTTATAAGGCTGTACTCTAACCAACTGAGCTAACCAACCAGCCCTGCTGGTGAGGTTTCCAATGATCAGGAATCAAGACACTAGCACTAAAGGGTAGTTTTGTATCGAACATACTCAAAACCAAGACATAGCATATTTTACTTTCAGATAAAAGAATAAATATTTTATCATACCCTTCAATCCATAAAGCATTTTACTGTGAAATGATACATGTTGACTCTACATAATTTTTCTCATATATAATTCACTTCAAGTAAGATGAGGAACTAACTATAAAACATGCACTAAGTGAAATATGTGAGTATGAAAAGTAAGAAAGAGTAAGTTCCAGGAGCTTTTTATTGTTTGAATAACAGAACATACAAAACCAAGTAGAGAGGTCCCCAAGGAATGATGGTCACGTTTCATTGTACTTGCCCTTTGGTCCTTCATCTTCTTAAGCACTTATTATATTTTCTTTTAATGATATTGGACATTTATTTTGATCACAAATGCAATCCAAGTGTGAATAAATAAATGTATTATCTTTTAACACTCCCCTCCCAATGTTTCTTTAAATAGAAAAAAGTGCTAAATGTCTCTTCATAGCTATTTGGCCGTAGTTGTTCCACCTATGCTTTTAAAAACAGATTGTAAGTTGATCTCCTGAAATCCTTCTTGAACTACAGCTCATTCTGTTAAAGAAATCCTAGGAAAGAAGTCCTATTGATATTGTCGATAGTCTCCAAAAGGTGAGGACGGTAACTGAGTTGAAGGCAACTGGGAGGGGTCTTCAGCAAACTGAGGACCTGTAATTAGGAAATAAAAAGAATTTTAAAAATCATCTGAATAATATATAATTAAAAGGCATAAATCTTTGTAGAATGTAAATCAATCAATTCAAAAATTATGTGCTACATTAGAGCTGTAATCGGAATTTCTTTACAGATCTGCCTAATTCCCATTAGAGTACTGGAGAACCTTCGAATTTGGTGAAACACATGACAGACCGGCTTCCCTTATGTTCCAGAATGAACAGCTCTCAAATGCTACAGCAGGAAAGTCAGATGGATTAATTATAGCAAGAAGCAATATTCAAGTTTTTCAAGCAATTGCTGTAACAAGCTGCCATATCAAGATTGGAAGAATCTCTCCCACTTCTTGACATATTTTTTCAGTAGCTATTTAAAATTATTTTCACAAAGTTTAAGTACCTTAGTCATGTTTTAAGAGAACTTGGTAATCAAATTTATATAATCAATTAAGTATGAAATGAGCTTTGAAATGGGAAGATATCTCCTAGCTTGCTGTAGAACAAAGTCTTGCAGTTTTAGTTTTCAAAGGATGGAAGGGCCTGTGAACTAAGGAAAAAAGACTTTTAAGGGAAAAATCAATCTTTTTTTCTTTAGGGAAACTGAAGCACACTAAAAAATATCTAGAAGGAAGGGAGAAAGAAGGCAGTGGCAAAATTCCCTGAAGCTTTCCAAGTCCTTCATTCCAATGATATGTTTTTTTTGTTTTTTGTTTTTGTCTTTTTGTCTTTTTTCGTGACCGGCAATGGATCGCAACCCTCAGTGTCGCGCCTGTACCGGACCGGGACCGGCAACGGGATCGCAACCCTCGGTGTTGCCCCTGCTCCTCGCTCAGCCAGTGAGCGGCCGGTCTGTATGTGGGATCCGAACCCTCGGCGGGAGCGCTGCCGCACTTCCCAAGCGGCACACTGTAGCAGTGCGCCACCGGGCCGGCCCCCCAATGATATGTTTTCATTGCACTATATAAGCAATATGTGTTCATTATGGGAAACTTGAGAAGATACTGGGTAAAAAAGATAAAGCAAAGACTATTATTTAGATATAGCTCCATTGAATATTTTATCACCGTTTTAAGAACTTTTTCATGTAAGTTAATTGGAAAAATATGATTAACTTCTCAAAGATTTCCCACTACACAGATTTTCTGAAACACATCTTTTTTTTTTTTTTTTTCATGTCCGGCAACGGATCACAACCCTCAGTGTCGCGCCCGCACTGGACCGGGACCGGCAACGGGATCGCAACCCTTGGTGTTGCACCTGCACCTCGCTCAGCCAGTGAGCGGGAACCGGTCTGTATGTGGGATCCGAACCCTCAGCGGGAGCGCACTGTAGCAGTGCGCCACCAGGCCAGCCCTGAAACACATCTTTAGTCTAAAAATAAAATGTACCTCTTTTAGGTTACTTCTGTATAAATGCTGAGTTTTGATTGCTCAAAAGAAGATTCCCTCTGAGGAAAAAGTCTAAAGCCAAGTAACCAAGGCTAATTTCTATAAGACAATGTAACTATTTAAGTTTTTGTTAGATCCATCTCTGAATTTCTGAAAATATGGAATTCTTTTCATGTTTTATGTAGTCAAAACAAACTAAAAAGCAAAATTAGAAAGTGACCACCATAACAGATAAGTAATGATTGAAAACAGAAACATATGGTGAGAGGGTCCATGCAGTCATCTAGATCATCCCACAGGCATGTAATGAGTAGTGTGCTTGAAAATTATGCCAAAAAAGATAATCTCTCACTAGGTGCCATAGGGAAATCAAATCAAATTGGAAGGTATGATCTATTCCTAACTCTATATGCTTAATTTTTTCCAAGCTCCAAAAATTATTTTCAACAGGTATCACTATTCTACATATTTCCTTACCGAGATGCCAGTTCAACTTCACTACAACTCATAATCCTCACGATATCTTCCTGCTTCCTTCTAATGTCAAGGGATGTTGTCATTTAGACACTGTACTTTTTGACAGTTACATGAAACTATACAAGTTAATGGCTCAGCAGATATTCCATAACCATGCGATGGTCATTTAGCCCACAATTTAACTTCCCCTATGCATCAGATAAGAGGAATAATTAACAACAAATTACATTACCAACTACACAGAGATTTTTCCCTGTGAACCCTAAAGCGACCCTCCCAAACATGAGTCACTTTCTACGACTATTTTCTTCAAAGCAAGAAACACTATCTGAAATAGTACCATTTAATACATAAAATAGAAATCACAAACTACCACATTTTAGCAGACAAAATATTTTTTCTTACCATAAGAAAGCCATTCCACAATGTCTGAGCTACAGTAATAAGTAGAAAGAAGACTCACCATTGGGAAATTGTGCAGAGGCAAATCTTGTCAACAAGATACCAGCTCCTTCAATTAAAGCTAGGAGAATGCCACCCATTGCGGCTGACCCAACCATGGCCACTGGTCCATCTGAAGACATTAATAGCAAAGAGATTACTTTAACAAAAATCAGTTTACTGTGAGATATAATAAAGAAAGGAGCTGTCCCTATGGGTTACATGCTACCCCCATTCCCAAATCCTCTTTCTCAGTCTCCAAGACCCTCAGTCAGCAAACTATGGCCAACAGGCCAGATGCACCCCACTGTTTTTGCAAATGCATGCTCTCTCATTTATGTACTGTCTTTGGCTGCTTTGCAGAATTGAGTAGTTGTGACAAAGGTCACACAACTAAAGTATTTACCATCTGGCTTTTTACAGAAAGGAAAACACTAAGTCTAAACATTGGTCTAAACACTAAGCCCAAAGTAATTCTGGGTTGCCCTCTGTCCCAAAGATCCAGAAGATGGTTCTAAGCTCTTTATTCATAACACCCCTTTGTGGCAGGTACCATTATTAATTTCAGAGTACTGATGAGGAAACTACAACACAAAAAAGTTAAGTAGCCCAGTCACACAGCTAATAAACACAGCAGAACTAGGACCTGAAGTGCTCTTAACCACTTTAACATACAGGTTAGAACTCCATGCTCTCCATCCTCAAACATTCCAAATCAAAGATCCTCTAACTTTGAAAAAGAATCATATATATTCATGCTCTACCAAATTAAGTGATGCTCAGTTTAACACATCACAGATGTCATTAAATTAAGACAGATGAGATTTTTCCAAAAAGTCTGGCTTCTACTAGTATGTCTATAAGGACTGCATACTTCTTGCTGCCAGTATGGCTCCGGTTAAGGCACCACTTGTGATGGAGTTCCAGGGATCTTCTTTTCCTCTGACTTGAACCATACTGCAGTCGATCATGGAAAACAGACCTCCCCAAACTGCGAAGCTACCTATTTTATTTTAAAAACAAACAAACAAACACAGAATTAAATTTCAGTTTTTCACATGCTACTTAAAATGTTATAGTAAAAAATAAATTTAACACTCACTATATCCTCAAAACTCTCATACTCCAAACAAATACACACAAACAGGTTTGAATAAACAGTGAACGAAAGTCAGAGTACTTATCTTTTGAATAAAGCTTGGATTGTATTATATCAGCTGGAAAATTAGCAATGGCCCAGAGCCTAAAAGAAATAAGCTAGGCCTAAACAGAGTCAGGCTGCATATGTCTAAAAACACGCGAATCACCCTTTCAGAACAACGTATGTCTGTTTAAACAGCAATAAACAAAACCAAACCACCCCGCTTCCTCCTTCCTTCTCCTTTTCTTTTATAGCCTTACTTACCTTTATTTTTTCCTTTCTTCATTAAGTGTCACTGAGCATCTACTCTATGAAAACCACTGATGGGAATATGAAAGAAATCCAGCTATTCTGAAATGTCAGCTGTAACCCAAACTTCTGGAAGTGGCAAACGAATGACATAAATGGAATTATAGAACATCAAGGGTATGGAAATTACCTTTCCTCCCTCCTTTCTATCTTTGTTCCTCAAGCACAAATCTAAAAATAGCAGATTACTTTACACTTAAACTCTACCTAAACACAAAAACAATTTTATAAAATAAAAAACAAAGACCCACACACATACATATACAAGTACAAACAAAATCTAGAAAGACAACAAGATTTTAATTTTCAGCATTTCTGGGTGACATAACAGATTATTTAATTTCTTTTGCTTTGTCTGTTTGCCAAATCTTCTAAAATGAATACACAAAACTGTATCACATAAAAAGAGTTGCTATATTTAATAAGATTAAAGAAAGAAGAAAAACCAGACAAAAGAGCCCTAGTCACTTTATTCTTTACCACTGAGATCTCAAGGTAATAGGTTAACAGGGTGTGTTAACAAGAGCAATAAACAGGGTTCCACCAAACATCTACACCAGATCATCTCCAGGATCTTTTCTTAGCTCTCACATTATCAGTTAAATCTACTGGATAATACCAGTTGAAGTACAGCATGAGCCCACTTATTTTAGGTCCAATATTAGATACCATATACAAATAAACCAGTTCTTTCTCCTAACTCAGTAATTCTATGCCTTGGGAGAGAGCTATGATGTCTAGTATATTAAAATTACCTCAGTAAATTTTTTAGACAAGACTCTCTCTCACTTCCTCACAAGAGTCTGAAATCTCTCCATCCCCCAAGAATCACTGCCAGAGTTAAGTGTGAGACTGTCAGCATAGCTTACTCCATCTTGAAGCCCTTACCCCTGGCTATGTCCTTTGTGTGAACCTTGCTCACAGTAACTAGGGGTAAGGTAGTTAGAACAATAGGTAGAAACAGCTTGCTGACTACGAAGAAGGAACTTAATGATTAAGTATCGGTATGGCAATAGCCAGTCTAGTTACCTGCATCATAAGACCACGAAAGATAGTAATAATCACTGTCATAAGGTATTTGGAGTTAGTGATGTTAGCTTGTTTCTTATTAGAAATTGCCTCTTTCGGTTCTGGTCAAGATGGTGGAAAAGACAGTCCTCAGTGTCACTCTCTCCCACAAATCAACCAATTTACAACTATAAAAATGTTAGCATCAGCCAAGCTGGGGCTGCTGGAGCTCAGGGGAAGTGGAGGAGAGACATACGGAGTTCATGAAGGCGGGAGAAACCACGATAAGAGAAAGAAAAAACTGATCTGAGCTTTTCAGGCCGCAGGCACTTTAAGGCTCCAGTTGCTGAGCACATCGAGCAGGAGCCGGCAGAAGCCGCAGCTGTGCCCTTCAGATGGAGTTACTTGGAGGCGGCAGGTGAAAAGAGAGACTTGGCAGCCCCCAGGACAGCAAGACCACTAATAGAGTTCCCGTGGATCCACGCAGGAGTGAGAAACCAGAACAGCTGTAAAAGGGGAGCCTGTCAGAGGCTAGTGAGTCATCACAAGGGACCAGTGCAGGGTCCCATTGGAAGTGTTTGGAGCACGGGCAGTGGGGGAGACGGGCCCACCAGGAGAACACTGGGACACAGCAAGGACAGCTGATCTGCCCCCCAATCAGCACAGGACCACTCAGAGGAGACTGGTTGGGAATGCAGACTGGGGATGCAGTTTGATGAAGACTCAGGCCCAGATCAGAGTTTCTACACAACCCAGGTGCATCAGGTCTCTGGAGAGCTGGAAGTACCTATACAGTCAACCACTAAACCCTGAGCTGCACAGAAAGTCTTCCCTAGGGAAACAGCAGCAAAGCAGCAATTTAGCTCAACCACATAGCTCAAGTACTGGTTCCCACAGGAAGTTCGTACGATTAAGAAGTAGGCAAAGGACAAAAAATTAGTTCCAGCCCAGGTACACCACCAGTGCCTCAGGGTCCGCCAGGGGACTCGAGGCATGGAGAAGGGGACCGGACCCCCCTCCCACAACAAGGCATACAGCGCCAGCACCTCGGTGCTCGACCGGGGACCCAACGTATAGAACCAGGAACTGGAACCCCCTCCCAGAACCAGGCGCATTGCACCAGCACCTTGGGGCCCGCCTGGGGACCCAAGGTATGGAGTCGGGGACTGGACCCCCCCTTCCCCAACCTGGCACACTGTGCCAGCACCTTGGGGCCCACCTGGGAACCCGAGGCATGGAGCTGTGGACCAGACACTCCCCACAGCCAGGCATACCACTAGCGCCAAAGAGCATGCCAAAAACATCACCTCCATGTGGGTGGCCCACCACAGCCACCATAACCATGGCTGCCGTGAAAGCAGCTAGATGCCACAACCACCACACAGAAGGTCCACCAGCCACTGAAATGCACCAACACAAGGAGTCACCAGCAAAGATAAAGAAGAGGATGTCTCTCTCCACAAAGTCCATTTCAGAGTGACAGAAGCATCTGCTCTATGATAATATAGGGGGACCTGACCATACCTCTCAGCATTGGACAGATCATCTAAGCAACAATCAACAGAGTAACCATTTTCTTTCAGAAGGAGAGAAGAAATCTAGGGCAATTAGAGGGGAGAAGGGGGGAGGGAGGGGGGGGAAAGGGTAGCAGAGGGGAGAGATTGGACAAGGGGCATAAAGAATAATTATGATTTGTAACAATATATATGCTAGTAATATTGATTTGATCAACATATCTCAATGTTGAACCCCCAAAATATGTATAATCAATTTTGATTCAATAAAAATTAAACAAAAAATAAAATAAAATAAGAAATTGCCTCTTGGCTTTTTCCTCTCCGCTACTTCATGTGAACTGCCTATATGAACTTCGGCTTGCCTGGAAGGTGGCGCTGAGAAACCTTGCATGTACCTCTGGGTTGTGGCCCACTTGATCCATCATTCTGTATGGAAGTAACCCTAATAAAATTCTTTGCTTTGGGGCCGGCCCGGTGGCGCACTGGATAGTGCGCTGCTTGGGAAGTGTGGCGGTGCTCCCGCCCGAGGGTTCGGATCCCACATACAGACCGGTTCCCGCTCGCTGGCTGAGCGAGGCGCGGGAGCAACACCGAGGCTTGCAATCCCGTTGCCGGTCCCCGGTCCGGTACGGGGGCAACACTGAGGGTTGCGATCCGTTGCCGGACACGGAAAAAAGACAAAAGATCCCCCCCCCCCCCCCCCTTTTCAAATTACTGCATAGGATTGCCTATTTCATTTTTCAATCTCAAGATACCTTCACACACCAACATTAAGAGTTCAGATCCTCATAGCAGCCACCCGACAAAAAAATACAAAAAATAAAAAAGATACCTTCTCAGTTTTGCCTTTAGTCCACTGTCAGACAGGAAGCTATAGTTATTGATGAGAATGAAGTGTTTAAGTCCAAGAAGTGTGAGGAGGGTGTCCATGCAGACAGGTAACCTGCTATGAGGAGCCAGAGCAAGGTGAGGATATGCACACTCCTGGACAGCCTAACACAATGTGTTAGAGCCCGAGCAGAGTGAGGAGCGGCTCATAAGGAAGGGCAGCCTGGCATGAAGTGTTGCATCCATGTGGAAGGGCAGCCTGGTGTGGGGTGCCATAGCCCAAGCAGGGAAACGAGGGAGGCATATATATGAAAAGGGAGAAAAATAATGAACCTTGTGAGGCTCGGTGAGAATTAAAAGGTATCAATGTGAACTTATGATGTTCAATACGTATAGATATATAGAAATATAGATTGTGTATGTATATTTATATGGTTAGTGAGTGTGTGTGTTTATATGAGGGTACTTCAAAAAGTTCATGAAAAAATTATCTTTTTTTTTTTTTTGGTGGCTGGCTGTTACAGGGATCCAAACTCTTGACCTTGTATTATCTTTCAATTTTATTTTTCTACAAACTTTTGTAAGTACCGTCGTATATAAGCATACAGACACACATATATTCCTAAACTCTTATTACAAAGAGGGCCCGGGATCAGCAATATCCCAGAAGTGATAATACACTTAGTGCCCTGATTTTGGCTTTTAGATGTCATTCTCAACTAAAAGGTACCAGGGCTCCTTGGAGAAATGGCTAACCTCATGGCTAGGGCAGGAAAAGCACAAGATGAACCTGGAATATCTTGTTTCAAAATGCAAATGGCCAATCAGTTAGCTCAGTTGGTTACAGCGTAGTTTATAACACCAAAGTCAAGGGTTTGGATCCCTGTACTGGCCAGCTGCCCCCCCCCCCCCCCAAAAATCAATTTTAGGGGCTTGCCGGTTAGCTCAGTTGGTTGAAGCATGGTGTTAGAAATGTAGGATTTCAGGCTTTCAACCAAGACCTACTGAATCAGAATCTGCATTTTAATGAGATTCACCAACTGATAGTATATACGTTATAGTTTGTCTCATTTCCCCTGTGAAATATAAGACCTTTCAGGACACAACTATAGATTTTTCCATGATGCCTGTCTCTGGATCTTTATTTGAAGGCCTTAGCAAATGCTTATTGAATTAAATTGAAAATGTCATTTGGTATTTTTCGAATTCAAGACACCATAAGGACTTCTCAGTGGTTTCCTACAAAAGGCTGATCCCAAGGATTTGAAATGGATGATTCCAATTCATACATATCACCACTTACCTTCTACTTCACATTGATTTTTTAAAATAAACTTCTAATTTTAGAATAATTTTAGATTTAGATTTACTTAGAAAACTTGTGAAGATAGTATCTATATATCCCACACCTAGTATCCCCTATTATTAACATCCACATTAGTATGGGGCATTTGTCACAACTAATGGCCCAATATTGATACATTATTATTAACTGAAGTCCATACTTAATTCAGACTTCCTTAGTTTTTATGTCCTTTTTTTGTTCCAGGATAACATATTATATTTAGTTGCCACGTCTTCTTAGGCTTCTCTTGGCAATGACAGTTACCTGATTGTTTTTTTCTTTGGCCCCGGCTGGTATGGGATAGCAAACCTGTGACCTTAGTGTTATAGGCTACATTCTAACCAACTGAGCTAACCGGCTAGCCCCTGATTGTTTTTTAACTTGTTGAGAATGCATAAGGTGATAGATAAGAAGCAGCTTCTCAAAACATAAGTAAAAACCTGTATGGCTTCTACATATACTGGAGGTTCAGGGTTTGGTGTGTACTTTACTATTACTTATCATTCTTGAACAACATAGTAACCATCAAAGTAGAGGAAAATTAGTCACTATTTACTATCTAGGGTGTACAATTATTACTGAGGGAAAAAAAGGGAAAAGTTATACCATCATGTCAACCCTTCAGCCTCAATATCCTCATGTGGAAAATGGGGATAATAATAGTACTAACCTCTTTCACTGCTGTTAAGATTAAATAAAATAATGCTGCAAAATACTTAGCAGAGTGCTTGGCAATTAGTAATCATTTAATAAATGGTAGCTCTTAGCTACTTTCTTCTAACGAAAAATACGATAAAAAGATTATTCTGATGCACAAAATTTCTAAGGAATGACTGAAGTATTGTCTTTTTTCATGTCTTATGTACAGTCTTGCCAATCTGACTATATCTTTGTAAGCGAAAATAACCTCCAAACTTTTCTGTCATCTCCTTTCTCCCAGCTTCTGAATAACCACATTTAAAAAGTGCAATGCATATAATCTTCTAAAATTTTGCATTGACGTCTACACAATGTCCAAAAACTAACCCTGGAGAAGAACCCAATCACCTCAGTCAGTTTCTCTCTCATGAAACCCCAATCCTTCAGATCATATTCTACTCAGCTTTTTGTTACCTCAGAACCTATCATTCCTTACTCTCACAAACCTAAGTTTTAAACAGTCTTCTTTCTCCAGGAGGAAAAAAAAAAAAAAAAGATTACTAAGTATCTGAAGGATAGAGACAAAATTTCAAATGGATACAATAATTCAAGTTAACTTTCCAAACAAACCACATATCAAGAAGAACTTACAGGGATATTAGTGACAAGCCATTAGACCAAACTAAAATCACTAATTGGTATAATCTCAAAAGAAGAAAAAACAGCCCCATTTTCAAATAAAAAACAACAACAAATTAGCCTGGAGTACAAACGAGAACTTCTGCTCACCTCCCAACTGCGGAGCTCTGGTTTTAATAGCTGTCAAACTCCCTCGTAGTCTGTGGTTTACTCCCTATAACAAAACAAAAAGAAGCAACCAAAAATATACTAGAAGTATAATTCATTTTTAACCCACTGATGGGACCACTAGTAATATTACCGAACCCAGGTTTTGAGTGATGATATGATATTTATTCATCCACTTACCACTGGAGAATTGCGAAAACCTTTGATTGCTTGAAAGATACCACCACCTATGGTACCCATTGTAAAGGCCCCACCACAGTCATCCACAATTCGCCAGGGGCTAAGAACAAAGAAAAAAAAAAGATGACTATATCTCTCATTCATAAACCATAAAACCTTCTTTGCTAACACCATAAGGGATGCAACCAATTCCAATGGAGGGCCCACCGCAACTAACAAACACTTGGCCTATAAAATACAAAGGATTCAGAACATACTCCTACCTGTTCATCCCCAAGTCACCAAGTCATCTAACCCAGAAGGAATGGGAGTGGCATTAACTCCCTACTTTTTTTTTTTTTTTCTTTTATATAAGATGACCAGTAAGGGGATCTTAACCCTTGACTTGATATTGTCAGCCCCACGCTCTCCCAAGTGAGCTAACCGGCCATCCCTATATAGGGATTCGAACCTGTGGCCTTGCTGTTATCAGCACCACACTCTCCCAAGTGAGCCATGGGCTAGCCCTTAACCCCCCACTCTTAATAGCACTTTATTCATTCAACAATTATCACATCTGTTATAAGCTGGGCACTGTGTAAAAGCATAGGAAATTACATTATAATCAACAATGCTGATTCAGTCTTCTAGAGATCAGGGTAAGCTCTCCAGCAGCAGTAACAGCAATAAATTTTAAAGCTGAGACCCAGTGAAAATTCAACGGCTGCAGACCAAAAATTTTTTTTAATTTTAAAAGATCTACAGTTCTTTCTGGTTTATTGAGTCCAAGTAAGCATTTGAAACTTTAGTTTGCATCAGATCCAGTTAACACATCGGAAAACTCTAATATCCAATAATTAGAGGTTAAATTTGTAAATCCAGCCTCCAAATATAGCACCCTAACTTATGCAACACACTGAAATCTGAGTAATTCGATCAGTAGAACAAAACTACCTATTCTAGGAATCTGGCTTATAAATCTGTGAGTAGTTAAATTCAGTTTCAACCCATTATAAGTGAAAAAAAATTCTTTATCTATGTCTTAAGGGACAAGTACTATAATGAGTCTATGGGTAATCTACCTGCTCTCAAACTTGTAAATATGAATACTGTTGCTGCTGGAGAATCTGAATGAGTAATTTCTGACTTTACCAGATAGAAATACAAAGACCTGAAGTCCAAACACCATACCCTTTTCAAGTATAATACAAATCAGGACCTCCTACAGAATGACTATCGCATGCAGCAGATATTCCAATTGTTAGCAGGATGCTTTAGGGTCTTGTCACCCAAAGTGCGGTAATAAAAGAAGCAAGATTAACAGGAGCTTGCTAGAAATGCAAACTCTTGAACTCCACTCAGGACTTACTGAATCAGAATCTACTTTTTAACACATCCACAGGTGACTTGATTACACTCTAAAAGCTTGAGAAGCAGTGCTCTGAAAGACTACAAAGCCTTAGGAAAACTTCTTAAAAATGGCAATATAAACAATAATAGGAAGTAAGGAAGGAAGGCAAAAGAGAATAAATTAGCAACTCCTTCAGTCAGTGGGAGGCCAGTAAAGAGAAAACAAATAAGTCTCCATGTGGGCATGCAAAAAAATATAAAAGGGCTGGGGATCTAATAAGTCTAAGACTTGTTTTTTAGCCTAAATGATCTTATAATTGGTTGAAATAAACAAGCATTAAAAAGTTAATAAATGGGCCGGCCCGGTGGCGCACTGTAGAGTGCGCCGCTTGGGAGCGCGGCTCCCGCCGAGGGTTCGGATCCCATGTGGAGACCGGTTCCCGCTCACTGGCTGAGCGCAGTGCGGGCGTGACACCGAGGGTTGCGATCCCGTTACCGGTCAGTAAAAAAAAAGAGACAAAAAGGAAAAGAAAAAAAAAAAAAACAGTTAATAAAGAACAGCAAGATCCAGATTAGAGAACATCCAGAGTATTCTAAGAGACGATGTCTGAAACAAAGGTGAGATGGAGATAGTATGAACAAAGTCTGGCAGAGAAGTTATGGGCTACATGACAGGAAGATTGAA